AAATTAAATTAAATTAATGTGTGTGTTTTATTTAGAATACAAATATGGGTTCATTAAATTTGCAAATTGCATTCTGTTTTTTATTTGCATTTTACACACTAACCAAACTTTTTCAAAACTGGGGTTGTTTACGACTTGTTTATTAGAAACAATCACTATTCAAGTATAAGCCAATGATTAAAAACACAACATGTGAAGGAGACAATCCCTTTTATTTTTGTTCTTAATAGGCTTTAGAATAATCAGCCGCGCCAATAATATCAGCTAATTGTGCAATTAATTAGTGTGCTGAGGATGGATGGAGAGATGGAGAAGTTTGTGCTGAAGTGCAGAGAGAGAGAGAGAGAGAAAGTGACCTTATTTGTGGTGCGGCTCCAGCTGCCTCCCGGTTGGAGGAGAGGGATGTTTCCACAGAGCTGTGCTGGAGCACAGAGGGGCTGTTCCCTCAGTCCGTCCGGAGCAGCGGCTGGCTTCACWGCTGGGGGACGAGGTGGCAACTGAACAACGCGTTTCACAGGTAAATAAATCTGTCTCCAAGTTCAGCCACGTTATACATTTAGGTTTGCGGTGATTTAGGGGCTTTAGCGTGTGTGTGTGTCTGTGTGTGTTTATGTCACGACACATGTGGCGGCTGAGTAGGCGTGTTGCTGCTGCTGTTTGGGAGCAGACAGAAGAGTCACATCTGCTTCAACAATTCCTGCAACTTACCGCCGAGTCGAGCCGGACCCGCTGCCTCCAGCCTGGATATAAGCTTCGGCGAGGGAAAAATATATATAAATATCGTGACACTTCCCGGTCAGGGTTATTAGAAGGTGAAGCCAATAGGAGAATGGCGGTCTATCTGTCTCTGTGTGTGTGTGTTTTTTTTTTTTTTGTACCTGAAGTATGTGCCTGCCACTGTTTGTGGTTCTGACAGCTGAAGGTTAAAGATTGCCGATGGAGCTAGCCAGGTTAGCTTTAGCCCTGCGAAGCATCGCTCTGTACCAGTGGAGGAGAGACCAAACCCCCTCTCAGTTACGCAGTTTTTAATGTTCTCCCCAGACGCGCAGATCTATATTTAATTATGTTCTTGTTCATTCACAACAAAATGAAACATGTTGTCGCGGCTTACATTCGGCGGTGTTATTTTGCGTCAGTCCGAACAACAGTTAGTGAAATCTAATTTTAACTTGTAGAACAGCTTCACCTCGGTGTGTTGTGTTATGATTAAAAAATAAATAAATACGGTCTGGATAGTGGTTCACCCACACGCCGAATTCAACCACAGACCTCCCCGCATCCGTTGGCGCTCTGATGATGTTTTTAAAGAAATGCGCAGGTGGTGGTGAAACTCTTCAACTGACCGGTTTTCTGAGGGACTTTCGTGTTTACTCGCCACATCTGTGTGCACTGGCCGCGCGCGCTCCGGGGCCAGCTACGTCTCTCCCCGGCCCATCAATCATTTCGTAACGACCCTCCTTTTTGGATCCAGCCGCTCTCGGTTCTGCTCGGAAGGAGAAAAGGACCAAATGGCGATGGAAATGAGCTGCAAGTACATCCCCCCGTTCCTCATCTTCCTCATCCTCCTCCTGCCCCCCCCCAGCAAACGGTGTCCAAGTTTAGTCTGCTTTGATGTTTGCATGTTGTCACTTTGTCACACCTGCAGCATGTTTGCATGATGATGGCTGCTGCTGCTGYTTGACCTCTCCTCTCCTTACTACAACACACGCACGCGCTGCCGTGCACGGGCGGAGCAGCCACCTTTGCTGTCAGTTTTGCAGAAACTGGTAAATGTTCAGTGTTGACTCTGAGGCTATGGTCACACTGTAGGTATTGCTCAATACTGTATTTTTTATTCTGTAATCCAAACTATTACAACTTAAATGCAAAGTTCCCACAGATCCATGGTCAACATGGTAGTAATGATTGTGAAGCTGCTGTGCAATGGAAGCCAACTAAATTATTATCTGCTGTTCTTCAGTACAGTGAATGTGTTTATGTTCTATTCTGTTGCTGTTATTACTGTTTGTCACTAGAGGGCGATACTGTGACTACGCAGGACAGAAGAGAAAAAACAAAGTACAGAACCAAGGTTGTATTCTGTAATGGCCTTTGGCATATTGGCACAGTAACCGTAATGAAGTTTGTTAGTTTATTCATTGGCTTCTATTTTATTAAAACCGCTGCAGCACTCGTTTCATTCAGTGTTTACATTTAACCCTGCTGCTTACTTCAGCTCAGAATAGACCATTGGTTTGACTTTAGGACCTCTTTGGGTCCTGAAACATCAAGATGAGGTCTTGAAAAGATTTTCAGAATTAATTGCGTTTAAAAACAATTGCTTATAACAATTTCTTTGGTAGTGTTCTTAAAAATGGGATAAAATTAGCGTAATGAACATTGGGCCTCATGCAAGAACATGTTTGTATTCTTATCCTAAATTTCTCTTACTTTTGTTCGTACAAAGGGTTCGTACGAACATGCCACGTCAGATTCAACAAACTCTTCTATCTTCAGGAAAAGTGCGTAAATGAGCTGCGTAAATTCCACCTGTTCTATCCAGCTGCTCGTGCACGCGAGAGGAGATTAGCATAATTACCACCCCAAAAACATCATATAAGACTATGTTTCCTGCCTCAGATATCAGGAAGTGCCCATTCATGAAAAATGACAGCGTTAATTAAAAAGAAGAACTTTACGAGTTCAGAGATTGAAGTCCGTCTGTCAGAGATCCAGAAAAGAAAATCTGTCATTTTTAGCAGGTCAGCTGTGGAATAAAAAGAGCTGCTAAATCCAAGGAATGAAATGATGATTGTTGTTAATGTCTCCCGTGGGTTGTATACAGACTCAGATATAAAAGTATAAATCATATTCATCACTCTCTAGTCC